CCTTGTTTGAAGACTACACAGTTTCATATAATATACACACTCATAATATTTTCAGATCCTTTTTATCTTGATCTTGATTTCAGGTTAGTATATTTTATTTTGTCTCTTTTTATGCTTTGAGAATAAAGTATTATAACTGTCATATCTTTATTTCGGAATGGACTCATTATCCATGTTTTAAATATGATATTTGGTTTTTATTTTAGGTCTCTATCAGGACTATTGAAAACTCTCTTTGTTTGGTGACAACACCAAAAGAAAAACACAATAAAAGAGGGGTCTTCAATAAACCCCTTTTATTTTCTACTCAAGCTCATGTTAAAAATAACCTAATATTATGCACAGTAATTACACATCTACTTGTTAATAAGTTTCCCACCTTTATTATTTGTCAACAATCTGAAGCTTCTGACTTAAAAGTTTAGTCAAGGTCAAGATCCATGAGCACAGCCTGGTCACTACTCTGAAGGAGGAAGGTGCCTGATCTCCCTCTTTTAACCTGGGTGATTGATGGTGATGAGATCCAATTACAACTTTTTTTAAGATCCCTCATTTGAGACACTGAGAAGCGGGCTCTTCCTATTCTCTTACAGAAATATTGCAATACAACATGCGTACATAATTTTCCAGAGCAACAAAGATTAGATCTTTGTAGAACAATGCACACTTCCTCTTCCTGCCCTTGTTGTAACAGGTCTGAGTACTCTCTTGAGATGGAAGACAGCTTTATAAGGCCACATTCTTGTTCTAAGAGTGTCAGTTTATCAGCCCTGTCTCCTTCCGGGTATAATAAGAAATGTCTCTTGGTAGCTGTCCAGAAAACTCTTGGCATAAGAAAAGGATCATCCAAGAGTCAGGTGTAATATAATATCCAAGGATCTGATATTAATATTAAAATTCCTTTTCTGTTGTTCACGTTTGCCTCCACCAGTAGTTCTCAAACCCTGACTGCAATTTGGGGTCACCTGGGGAACTTTTTAAAATCGGTGATGCCCTGAGCCCAGTCCACCAATTAAATAGGAATATTTGAGACTTGTATTGATAAATCATAACACTCTTCTAATGTAAAGCTTGAGCTATCTTGGCCTATTCCTTTACTTTCGAGTATTCAGAGTCACTTTCTCTTAGCTGTGTGTTTTGTCCCAAAGAGAGAGTTATATATTACTAGGAGTTTAACCTGTATACATTTATTGTCATAAATGATGTTTTATCTTTTTTAAAGCATCTTATGTTACAACCCCCCTACCCCATGCTTCCTTGTTGTTTCCTTTGAATTTCTTTTTTCCTCCCTAAACTGACTGCTTTGCTTTTTCCCCTTTGGTAATTTTGAAGATAAGCTATTTCATATTCTATTACTAATTACACCTAACATCTTTAAAAGCATGCTCCAACCTATATTTCTCTAATTAACTACAGAAACTACAAAACAGGATTGCTCGCAAGATGAGCAAATTAGCATATCTCCTTGCTCCAACTTTACTCTTTGTGTCAGTATAATCTGGAATATTCTACCCTGAGGTTAGGCAGGAATAATGTCTTATATTTTCTGTTTCAAGGAATATTTGTCACACTTGCATTTCATTTTATAACTATGTTTACAGAAATTATTTAAATTCATCACCATATTGCTTTATTTGCTCATTGGCAATCTTTGTTTATGCTTTTTGTTAACCACAACTTTATCCTACTTGAGTTTGTTGTTTAAATTCATCTCTAGGTTGGATAGGAGACGTCTTTGAGTGGATGTGAATAGGACTTTTTTGAGGCCTTTGATATTTAAGAGCAGCTTTCTGTTGCCTCTGCTGTTTAACAGCTTGGCTCATTCATACCCTTTTCCACTGTAAATTATTTCGGGGCACATCTGTACTATGTCTAAGATAAATACATGAAAGATTACAGCACAGTATTTTTCTCTGTTTTCCAGAGTTGACACAGGTATCCATCTATTAATATTTGTACAGACTTTGGTCAATCTGTTGGTTGAGGTTTGGAGTGGGATGGGGTTACGAGGCCCACATGTTCATGTCACCTTCTTCCAGAATGGTTTCAACCATTAGGTACTCATTGATTCATTCAGCAAATATTGGTTGAGCATCTACGATGTGCCAGGCATTGTGGGAGCCACTAGGGAGTCAGCAGAATCAGATGAGATTTCTGCTCCCATGAAAGATCTGTGTATGCATTGGGGAGAGGGAGGGACTGACCATCAACAGCTAAACATGTAAACAATATAATTTTAGAGAATGATAAGCAGAGCTATCATATATAGCTGCTCAAATTCCAAAATGGTGCCCCAGGAGCTTTGTAACATGGCAATCCTGGTAAAAGGTTCTAGAGAAAAAATAATACACTGATAGAGTGATGGAGAGGGGGAGAGGGGCTCAGGCCTTATTAATCAAATACTCCTCTGCAGCAAATTTATTTGCTCACATACTCACAGTACCCCTGACCATCTTCCCTCTGAAACTGTAGCACCTTTCTTTGTCTTCATCTGCCTTGGACTTGCTCAGCAGGCCCTGTGATTTGCCCCCTCTGTCTTCAAGGTCTTTGCCTTTCGGTTTTGATCCCTCATTATTTGCATTATGCTCCCAACTGAACTCCCACAAAGCTGGAGATAAGATGGCTGTGTGGGGGCATCCATGTCCAGCCTAGAGACCCCCAATTCAGTGCTAATGTAATATTTCAAGTTGACAGATGAATCTTCAGCAGATTTGAGGAACACCTTCTAAGACTCCACAGTCACATAGGCCCAGTGGGAAGTATTATTATCATATTGAGAGACAGCACTGGGGAGTTAGTAAGAACTTGGTCTCTAGAATCAGGCTCATTGATTTGGCCTTGGCGCTACCATTTACTGGCCCTGCATTACTTAACCTCTGTGTGCCTCAGTGTCTTCATCTTTAAATGGGGTTAAAAACAATACCTACCTCGTAGCGTTATAGTGACAGTTACATTGATTAATTGATGAAAGTGCTTAGAATGGTGTCTACTCTTAGTAAACCCTCAATAATCTATAATAATAATTGCCATTAACTAGGTCTTGCATTACCTAAAAGCTTTTTCATGTCCTTCTCTCCCCTTGGCTCGAATTCTTTCTATACTTAAAATATACATGGATTACAGGGATGAGACTGAATGTGTCTTAGGAACCAGGCTTACTTTGCTGAAGTGCATACGAGGGCTTTTACAGCTGCAGACTGGAAAAGAAATACTTCATGCAGAAAAAAAGGGGGAGCTGGGCAGAGTCAGGGAGAATCAGGACTAAACTCATCACAAGGAGTCACCAATTTTTTTGTTTTATGTTTTTTTCCCCCTTTGGCAAACATGATTTTATTATTTTTCATCTTAGCATCATTACATTTAGTAAGTCTAATATTACTCACTTACATATCAATTTAATTAACACCAAACATCTATATAAATGTTATAAATGGACTTCAATGTTTATCCATATATGGAATTACCTTCTTCTTACTTGTATATATTAAAAGATGTTTAGAATGAACCTACAGCATTTTTGCAATCAGCAAAATTAAATGTTGTTTCATTTTGAATGCCTATGACCCTGATACAGTTTTTATTTGGGGACTCATGTCCAGTCTTTATCCATATATAAACAAATATTTAATAGCTATAATCAAAAGCATGCATATAATTTTATGATCTACTGCGTTATTTAAAATTATGTTTAACATTCTTTCTACAGGGTCATATTTATCACTTTAATGATTGCACTCAAACTGCATCACATTAAAGGCTATAATTTACCTCACATTATTGGGCTGACATATAGTTTATTCGCATTTTTCCTCTATAATAAAATTATGTCATTGTAAACATCTTTGGCTAGGTTGCTCTTTTTCTTTTGAATTAATTCCTAGAGATTACTGAGTCAGTCTTTGAGTAGTTTTGTGGCTCTGGTTAAGAACTTATATACTCCCTTCAAAAAGGATCATATCAGTTTTGCTCTGCAATTGGCAGTAAATGCATGTATGAGATTCCATGAAGCCTCAACAATACTGGATTGTATATTTTTTTCTATTGAAATGGACTGTGTTGTCATATTAATTATATTTTCTTTCATATGAATCCTCTAAGCACTCTCTTTACTCATCTTGGTGATGTTCTTAGATAAAGATTCTAATTCAATATTGATATTTTTTCCTGTGTCATAGGCATTGCAAATTTTTTTTCCATTTTATTATTTCCTTTTATAATTTTGTGTTAGTATTTGTTTGTTTTCTCATTTATAGCACTTTCTTTGCCTATTCTTATTCCAGGGTCTGCTAGTAGTTGGCATGAAAATGGCTTAAAATAAGGGTTTTTAGAAGGGTGGACCCTTAGGGTGAAATAGGGGAGAGAGAACAGGACGTGGATGGGGATCATAATGGACGCTGTCACCTCCCTCCCCCAGTTTCTTCAGAAGCTTTGGTCTCTGAAAGATGGTGCTCCTGGCATCTCTTCAGCATAGTGTGGTATCTTGGGGTTGTCAGAATCCCATGGCACACCTATCATTTTCCCATCAAAAATGTTTGAAGGAGACAAATGGTCCCGGACTGTCTCTACCCGGTTACCGCCTGGGGAATTAGCATCGCTGTGTCATTAAGCAGTGTCCTTTCCTTCTGCTGCAAACCCAGCTGAAAGAGGTCAGGGACTGTGACTCTGCACTTAGGCTTGAGTTACGGCTTTGTCCCACCCAAGGGACTCAAAGCACAAGGACACTGCCTAGGTGAGCGTGCTGACCAGGGGAGAGGGGCCAAGAGAAGACCAGTTCTGCCATGTCTGCCTTTTGCCAAAGGGGCCCTGTCCATTGCTAAGTCCAGCATGGAGCCCAGCATGTCTCCTCGCCTGGAGCTCAGAGCCCAGCCAGTCCAGCCCAACCCTTGTGCCACTCTTTCTTTCTATTGCTTTTTAGACTAAGATGTTCCCCCTGCCAGCCCTCAATGGCTTAGGCAGAATGTTGGGGATGCTTAGTGACCTCCACTGCTCTTCTCTTGCAGTCTCCTGCTTCTTCAACTTCACCAGCCCATCTGGGATTGTCCTGTCTCCCAACTACCCAGAAGACTACGGCAACCACCTCCACTGTGTCTGGCTTATCCTGGCCAGGCCTGAGAGCCGCATCCACCTGGCCTTCAACGACATTGACGTGGAGCCTCAGTTTGATTTCCTGGTCATCAAGGATGGGGCCACCGCCGAGGCGCCTGTCCTGGGCACCTTCTCAGGAAACCAGCTTCCCTCCTCCATCACAAGCAGTGGCCACGTGGCCCGTCTCGAGTTCCAGACTGACCACTCCACAGGGAAGAGGGGCTTCAACATCACCTTTACCAGTGAGTCCTCCCTCTGTCACCAGCTGGCCCTCCCTCTGAGTATCTGCCTCCGAAGATGATTGAAGGTGCTCCCTTGGAGGGAGGAGGGGATGTGGATGGGGTAGTTCCCAGAGCATTGCAGGGAATGCCCAGGCATGGAGCTCCCAGCATGACCAAGAAAGGGCATAAAGCACTGGCTGCCAGGCAGGGTGCTCTTTTCTGGAAGTCCCTCTCTGAAGGGCATTTATCTCCCATAGTTGTGATATATAATGTAAAAGGAGCCTGGAACCTCATTTTTGCCCCAACCTTCCCCATCCTACAAGACCCAGCCAGAACTAGGGAGAGTCCAAGAGAAAGAAAGCCTCCATCATTCTCATTCGTTCCTGATGCCCTCTCTGAGGTGCTCTCCCAAAACCCTGAATGCCTGCCTGCTGCTGACCTCTGCGTTCCTGGCAGGGCTGCTCACTTTGCTTTGCCCAGTTCCCATTCCCATAGTCAAATCAGAATCACAGCTTTGGAGCAACACTTCTGTTGGGCTCCCAGACTTACTGGGGACAACTCTTAGGGACTTTCCTCATAGCCCCTCTCAGGGCCATCATCTGAAAGTTGCCACCTCCAATTTCAATCCTGGGCCCCTTCCCTAGAAGCAGCCTAAACTCTGCAGTGATTATTTTTATTTCTGTATCTCGTGGTAACAGAGGGGGTTGGGGCGGGGGGGCAGAAGCTTGGAGACTAGAAATAGCAAGCCACCAAAGATAGCAAGAAGTGGTTATCAGGTGATAAGAAGCTATAAATCCAGTGGACTTGGCTGATGACAGACAGTCAAGTGTGGCTAGAGGTGGGTCCATCTGAGCAATTAACTAGATCCTTTCCCAGAGGCTGCTTGTGAAGGGCAAGTCCCCAGTGCAAGCTGTGCCCCATGCCCACAAACACATACTGATCTCCCAACCCCCATTCCCACCCTTGGCATAAAGGCCTTGCCTCCGTTTTCCACCTATTTCTGGAGTCCAGTTGGACTGAAGACATTAGGTGCTACCTGGTGGGCCATTTGGGATCCCCAGCCAGGTGAAGCCCATTCTATTCCCCTCACCACTCTTCTTTAGGACACAATGAACCTTCTCAGGGCATGTCTCCTCCAGGGGATTCCTGTTTCATCCCCTGTGGGCAGGAAGAAGCAGGGTGAGAGCCTAGTTCTGTCTTTCCTAACCTTCCTAGTCTAGCACTGACCATGCTGCTTCATACTAGAAAGGGGCGAGTATGCATTCCTTATCTTTATATCCCTCAGCCCAGCACAGGGCCTGGTGTGTGCTAAGGATCAACAAATGTTTACGGAATGGAAGGATCCATGAATGAGTAAATGCTTTTTCTTGCCCTGGCGGAGTGAGAAGAACAGGGATAAGAGGTATCCTGGGGAGCACATTTATCCAGGATGGTGAGGGCCGAGAACTCTAGGTTTGCAACAGGTGTGGAAACTGAGCGGGAACTTGGGAGAGGAGGCAGCTGGTGGCCCAGGGGCTGAGCTTCATCTTGAGAGCAGCAGACTAATCTGAGGATAGCTCTTACTCGTATTTCTTTCCAAGGTTTCTCTACCATTGTAAAAATGATACACACCCAATATGTAAATACTCAAAAAATGGGACAGGTCAAAGGAGAGATGTTAACCACCACCCAAAATCCCCCCAGCCAGAAATGATCCTTACCAACAGTTGATGGATGCTATTACAGATATCAGATAGTTTTCATGCATTTATACAAATAGATAGTTGGATGGATTGATAGAAATAATTTTTAAGAATCTGGGTCGCATCGTAGACCTGCTGAATTAGAATCACTAAAGGGATGGGGCCCCAGAATCTACATTTTTGGTAGGCTTCTGAGGCGATCTGGATGCAGTCAGTGAAACAATCATCCATGGCCAAGTGTCAGGGAATTAGTGTAGTCTCTCCCACAGGACTTTAATCTCCTCCTACATCCCAACTGATGATCACTGAGGCTGAGCTTGAATTTGCCCAGTGTCAGGGAGCTTGCCGCCTCAGACAGCTCTCTCCACAGCTAGCAGGCACTCTAGATTTCAGGTCAACGTAAGACCCCTAGAACTCCTGAGAACAAGACTAATTCTTCTTTCACATGGAACATAATGAACAACGATGACAGTAGCTGCCATTTATTGAGTGCCTACTATGGGCTGAACCTGGTGCTGAGCACTCAACAGTCATCACTGGAAGCCTCACAACAAAAGCTCCATAAAGCAAGATCTACCCCTTTCACATGCCAGAAAACTGAGGTCTGGAAAGGAACACAGGGAGAAGTGGGTCCTTGACTCAGAGCTTTTGCTCCCAGATGTTGGAAATAGCTCCATATTCCTGCTTTGTGCATTTGCGTGTGTGTGTGTGTGTACATGCATGTGTGTGTTCATATGTGGGTGTGTGTATCTATGCCTGCGTGTGTATGACTGATGGGTTTGAAAGAAAAATGCCTGGACTTCTAGGCCCCAGGCATCACTTTTTTTTCCCACACCATATTTCCAAATGTCAGGGTGACTCCATGGTCATAGTTTTCAACGAAGAAAGGTTGGGAGACTCAAGTCTGGGCTGACCTAGGCGTTCAAATGGAAGAGTATTGGGCACTCAGCTGAAGGCCTGCATGGGATCATCACAGTCATTTCCACATCAGAGACTCCATCTGCAATGGGAAGGGTCAGGTTTGCAGGCCTCTTGCCTCTAGCAAGATCCAACAGTCTCCAGGGTCACTGCTGTTTCTGAATGTGCAAGTGTTTCTCTCACTAGGGAATTTCAGAGGCCTAGAAATTTTTTTTCAAGTGGCCTATACCCACGCAGCCTTACATCCTGGTCTCCACTGGAAAGTTGCCATCCTCAGAACAATAGGGGTGCAAATAGAGCCTGGCTTCAGAGACATTTAGTGAGAGAACTGTGACACCCCTGCTGGAGGAAGGCAGGGAACGTGCTTGGTAGAGACCGAGCAGGAAAGAGTATCTTCCCATGCAGAGGAGGGAAGAAGGAAGGGAACTCATCTTCAGTTAGCACTTACAATCTGTCACGTGCTGCACCAAACACTCGCCACTCTCATATTCACATCAACTTTCATTTTATTTCTATCTCAGAATGACCCTGCAGGTGAAGGATGGTCTCCATATTATCAGTCAGGAAACTAAAGCTCATCAGGATTGCATAAGTTGTCCAGGACCATGTAACGAATAAGAGGCAAAGCACGATTAAATCTGCAGCGTTCTGACTCTGTCCTCTCTCCACTCTTTGCATTATCAATTGCCTGGGTACAATGAGAGGCAGCCCTGTCAATAGGCAAAGAAATAAAGGAAATAGCTTCAGACAGGGTTAATTCTAGGGCACCTCCTTTATGATGCTTAGAGTCTATTAGCATCACAGGATTGAGAGTCTGGCTCACCTCAGGCAGAAATGATCCCATAACTGTCTGAAGTTAGGGAAACGTGGAATGGATTTGACATTGAGGAGACAGATCAGCTCATTAACCACACTGAGCCTCAGTTTCTTCATTTGTAAAGTAGGGTAACAAGATCCACTTTATAGAATCATTATATGGTATAAGTGAGCTAACAGCAGAAACACTTAGCTTACTGCCCGATCTATAAATGTCCATTAGAATGCAGTGGTGGGATTAGGTGCTCGGGAAGGCAGGAAATCAAGTTTAATGAGCACCTGCTTGATGGCCAGGTCCTAGGATGTCTAGCTCTCCCTCCAGTGTGGCAAGTTCTTGGGGAAGTGGTGTAGTTCTAGGGTTTACCATCCCAAGGAAGCTTGTTTTCTTTGAGGATTCTTCTCTACTCCAGCAGTGTCTGATCTTGTCCTTGAACTCCATCTACACAGCCTTCCGACACAATGAGTGCCCGGATCCTGGCGTTCCAGTAAATGGCAAACGGTTTGGGGACAGCCTCCAGTTGGGCAGCTCCATCTCCTTCCTCTGTGATGAAGGCTTCCTTGGGACTCAGGGCTCAGAGACCATCACCTGTGTCCTGAAGGAGGGCAGTGTGGTCTGGAACAGCGCTGTGCTGCGGTGTGAAGGTATGTGCCTGCAGGCTGGGGGCAGCAGCTGTTGTCAGTCAGAGAGGCTGGGGAGGGGGAGCAAGAAGTCCAGGCCATGGTGGTTCCTTTCTGTATTTGTCCTTGCTCTTCTCCTGGGACTGAGGGCCACTCTCTCACCCTCATGATGGAATAACAGGGGCTTCATAAGGACACTGTGCACAGGAATTTAAATTATAAACAGAGATTAGAGAAAGAGCTCTAGACGTCAGGCATCAAAAGCACCTCTTCTTTCAAATGAGAACTCTCTCAATATCACGGCCATTAAGAGCCCTGTTTCCAGCTTCTGCCCAGGAGAGCTCCAGCAGCCCGAAGTAGCATTGGCAGTGCTGCGAGTTTTCGGGTCTTTCAAGGTGCCTACCACTCTTCCCTTCTCCACATGTTAATTTTCCCCAATTCCCTGGGATGTCTCCCAGTCTCGGCCTTTGTGCCCTGTTAAATGCTGACTTGATATCCTCGTGGTCAATCTCCAGGAGACTCAGGGCCAACCAGCCAGAAGAAACACAGCTTACAGCAAGCACACGGCTTATGATGGCAGCTCTCAGTCCTGCCTCGCCACACAAGACAGTTTTTGACTCAATTTGCAAGACCAGCCATCTGTTCCACTAAACTACAAACATTTAAAATACAGATAAAGCTTCTTGAGGCAGGAGTCAGGTTAAATTTATGTACCAAGCATGGTGTACCAAGCATTTGTGCACCAGGCAAATTTGTGTGCCAAGCATTGTGTACCAACCATGGTGGCTGGCACAGAATAGGTACTTAATAAATATTTGTGAATAATGGATGAATAGTGAGTATCCCAAGGGCCCCTTGGGGAAACTGACAGTGTCCAAGGAGACGAAGGATGTGATTCTCTCCTTTTAGGAGGCAGAAACCTTCTTCCTCACATTTCATGTAATAGAAAGAGGATAGAGACTTAAGAGACCTCTTGGCTTACCCAATTCCTAAACTCAAATCTGGACATCATGGCCATGAACAGGAAGGACAGGAGAATGCAGAAGGGAGTATGCCTGAGAGAGAGTATTACCCAGAGCTTACAGATGGGTGGGTGGGAGACGAAGGACCACCGAGAACACTGGAGGTGGCAAGGGGTCCAGGTGGGCATTTGAGTGAGAGGGGCCCAGGCTGGGATCCTGGCAATTCACTTTTCCCCTTGAGCCTTTGTATTTTCCAGCTGGAAAAAAAAGAGGGATAATGATAATTATCAGATGTGTATGGAGTAGGCAGTCCTGGTATAAAGTAAGTCCTCATAAGCTGCGCCCTCACTGTCATGTACGCTCCATGAGGTTAGGGAGTCTTCCTCGGCCTCATATTCCCACAGCTGGCATGTTGTTTGACACTTGGTAGTTGCTCAATCAATACTGGTTGATGAATCACTGAATGAATGAATGAATGAATGGCCTTTTAACTAGGCCAGAGCCTCCCTAATGAGAAGCATATAAATGAAATCCCTCCAGAGCCCTGACTTTCACCAGACTGCCTGCTGTCTCCACCCTGCAACATATCATCCAAGCCACCCTGGGGAAGTGACTTGACCTCTCTGTGCCTCAGTTGCCCCACTGTAAAATGCAGGTTGATAATAGGAACCCCCTTGCAGAGTTGTCCTGAGCATGCGCAGTTCTTGGAGCAGTGCCTGGTGAGAGGTAGCACTCAATAAGTGTTGACCATCAGCATTAACTTGATTTTAACTATTTCTTCATTGGACCAATCAGATCAGTATTTGCTCCACTTTGGGGGATCACAGTTGGGGCATTTCCATCCTCCCAGGAACTTGCCCCAACCGTGACATGAATAGACATTTCTTTCTGACTTCCAAGCTTCCCACAGTGTGGTCTATACAACCTCATCTGCCATTCTTCCCCAGTGCAATCAGCACTTTTGGAAAGAACAGAAGCTGTGGAGTTAGAGAAACAACACGAAACTCAGTTGCCATGCTTCCCAGCTGTAGAGCCAACAGGCTTAGGTTAAGTAACTAGACCTAGACCTCAGGTCCCTCATTGGCAACAGGGGAATAAGTATACATATCTGATGGAGTTATTTGCTGGTGGAACAAGCCACTGTACAAAGCATCCATGCAGAACCCAGTCTGGAGGGTTGTCAATCGGTGGTCTTTCACCTTCCTACAGACCAGCGCCCTCGTTTTCCCTCGCACTCATTGACCACTTATAATTTCTTTAGTTTTCATTGTGTTGGTTCATCTCTCTGAGATCTTCCCTGCTGTCTCTGGCTCACCTGATCTCTTCCTTCTCCTAATTTCTATGATTTTTCGTGTGCCACCACCACTGGACCACTCTGTTGGATACTGGTTCTTACCATTATTACATTTACCAGTTCCACAGGCCTTGGTTCTGTGTCTCCACCAAGACTATGAGCAGTCTCAGGGCAGAAGGCCAGATTCCCATTGCCCCTGAACCTGCAGGGACTTAGTCCCAAATGAGTTGACCCCTCTGAGGAACCCTCAGGACTTAGTAACTGCACAATCCTCCTCTCCACCCCCCACCCTCCTGAATCAAGTGCTCCTAGACTTTAGCTCTGCGATGCATTGAAACTCTCAAGACCATGTATGAACACGTGAGATAATTTGACCTTTGTTAATGGATCTTCAAGTGGCTCACTATTTCATGAGCAAGGTCTTCATTTTAAAGTTAAAAAGGTCGTGTTCATTCTGTCCCTGGAGAGGTAAAGGCTGTAGGTTTGGGGCAGTAGGCCCCAGAAGTAAGGGACAGTCTATTGGAGACCCTGACCCCAGGGAGAGCCTGCTCGGTTTTCTCAGAGTGATGGGCATTTGATGCCAGCATGGTTTTCAGGGATCTGGGGAGTAGCACGTCAGGCAGAGTGTGACAGCCTGATGCCACTTAGGGTGGCTGAATCCCAGCCTAAAAACCTTAGACGAGCTGGCTAAAGAAGCCCCTGGGAACCTTTCCCTTCTTGGCTCCTCTCCCTCCTTTTGTCTGAGCCTTGGTAGAGCTCTGCTTTGCAATCAGCATCTTTGTCTTTTCCGTTTTTTTCTAGTTTTGTTTTTGATTAAGTATCTCCACCTTGTGGACAATTAAATGCAGAAGCTAATGGTCTTTTAGAAAATCTTTTAATATATGCTAAGAGCCACTTAGCTTTTGAGAGGCTATAATAGGACAAGAGAGACGATGGCTTCTCCTAAATTTAGAAAGAAGGATGATTATCTGGAGGATCTAAAGCAGGGGTCAGCAAACTTTTTCTTAAAGGGCCAGATAGGAAGTATTTTCGACTGTGTGGGCTCTAACTCTGCTGTCCTAATGCAACAGCAGCCTTAGACAATACGGAAGCGAACGGGCTCGAGTGACCAAGTCTGTGATCTTGAGTTCACAGGACATAGGAGTCCCTCATGTTTAAAATCAGAAATTTCCCAAGAAAGACTTCTGGTTAGTGAAGGCAGCTACACCGGAGTACCTGCTTGCCTTTCTCTCCCCTACACTTACCTCTTCCTTGACTCTTTTAAGGAAAAATAATCAGACCCCACTAGGATAAGTGTCTGACAGAGTCGCCTCATTTCAACCTTGCACCAGTCTAGGAAATAGATGTCGTTATTTCCCTTCTGGGGCACAGAGAGGTTAAGTCACCTGCCTAGGATCTTCCTAGCTTGTAAGTGACAGAGCCAGAATTCAAATCCAGACTCTTGGCTACCCTGTTACTGTATTTTTCTTGAATTATATCACTGGAGAGAATATGGTTTCCAACACATCTATGAAAGACTTAAAAGCATCTCCAAATAGAATGAAAAGCAGGATTTCTACTTTCCACATCCCCATAGAAAATTAAAAGGAAACATATTGCCTAATGCATAAGACAAAGAAGACAGGACATCACATGGAAATGTCGGAAATTGACAGCATGAAACAAAATGACAGCAGTAAGACAAACATATCAGTTATGATAATAAAGGTAATTAAACTCCCTATTAAAAGACAAAGAGCTGAGCTTTAAGAATATTCTGCTTACAAGAAATACACACAAAAAAGATAAATTATCTACAGTGAGTGTGCATTTTCTTCTTTATTTTATTTATTTATTTATTTATTTTGAGATGGAGTCTTGCTCTGTCATCTAGGCTGGAGTGCAGTGGCGTGATCTCAGCTCACTGCAGCCTCCACCTCCTGTGTTCAAGTGATTCTCCTACCTCAGCCTCCCGAGTAGCTAGGACTACAGGTGTATGCCACCACGCCTGGCTAATTTTTGTATTCTTAATAGAGATGGGGTTTCGCTATGTTGGCCAGACTGGTCTCAAACTCCTGACCTCATGATTTGCCAGCCTTGGCCTCCCAAAGTGTGGGCATTACAGGCCTGAGCCACCACACCTGGCCCCTGTATTTTCATTTTTTAATTTTTAAAGAAATACTTGGAGGATTGCTTGAGCCTGGGAATTAAAGGCTGCAGTGTGCTATGACTGTACCACTGCACTCCAGCCTGGGCGACAGAGCTAGACTCTGTCAAATAAATAAATAAAGGAATACTTGGTGGTTGTAAAAATTTCAAATGATGCACAAGTGCAGTACAACTCAAAGTAAAAATGCTTATTTCCCAATCCCACTCCCCAGAGGAAAATGGTTTAACAGTTTGGTATAAACACATCCACATTTATTCTCTATCTACACCAAATGTGTTACTTTTAAAATCACGAAAAAAAGCAAGTCCTGTAATAAAGAAAGAAGGTCAGTTCTCCTCATGACCACAAAGAAATCTAAGTGGTGGTGGTAGCTCATTTAGGCATCTAAGGAAGAACTGTAAGGGCAGTTATTGGGTTTCTAGCAATCTCTCATTTAATCTTCTTGCCACTCTTGTGAGAAAGATGTAATTATGCTTTATCCATGAGAATCCGGAAAAACAATGAGGTGAGTTGACTTTCCCAAAATCACCCAGCTAGTAATCACTGAGCACGTACTATGCACCAAATACCAGGCCAATTGCTTTACATCTATATTAGTCCATTCTCACATTGCTATGAA